AAGATATATATATATATATATATATACATATATATGAATGAATTGATATAAGATATATATATGTGAATGAATATATATTTTTTTCATTCTATTCATTGATATCCTGGTTTTCTAAACAAATTTAAGATTTTTTTTCATTTCTCTGTTTAATAATGAATTTTGTACATAAGCAGAATGAAAAGACAATCATATACACAGTCAACTTAGATTTTTGGCATCCTGTTCCTAAGTCCATGGATCAAAATTTAAAAGGTTGTATGGCAAACTGCAATTTACAAGGTTTAACAGTAAAATTCTATTCAGGATTCCAAATTTCCTGCAACAGTAAGATAGAAAGAACAATACCAATTCTTTTTTTCAAGTCAGTAATTTTGGTGTTTAGCATCTATGTGTTCACATATTTGGGGGCCAAGAAAAGGCTGTTGAGGGAGATGTGTTGAAATTTGTGTCTCTTTACATGTCAGATCCACTGAAGGCCAGAGGAGCTGGCCAGGGATATGAACATGAGTTTGGGAAATGGTGTCTTATTTAACATGGAATCCTTTCAAGACTAAGAACAAAAATAATAAAATCTATATTGAATACCAGGCACTAGACAGGTATTTTCCACTTTGTGACTTCCATGTTTTTCTTATAACAAATCTAATTAATAGTTAATTGTATTTTTTTTGTTGGGGGGTTTTTTTGTTGTTGTTTTGGTTTTGGGGTTTTTTTGGGGTTTTTTTTGTTTTTGTTTTTGGTACCAGGAATTGAACTCAGGTCCTCATGCTTGCAAGGCAGGTGGTGGAACCACTGAGCTAAATCCCCAGCCCAAATAGTTAATTGTATTCTGAAGTTGAAAATATAGATGCTTAAAAATAATCAGGTACTGGCTGAAAGCTACACAGCCAAGATCTGAAAAATCTGTTCCCAGTGCTTCTGGCACAATCCTGGGTCATTCTCCAGCCACATGGCTGCTTGCTTAAGAAAGGTCCACCTCAGATACTTGCTAAAAAACTGTTGGCATCCTATACCAGTTTGTACATGGGTACTACTTTGCAGTGGTGATTTAGGAATACATCTTGCAAAAGAACGTGAAACTAATGCCTCTCAAAGTACATTTGTTCTCTAAATTTAACAAATTTGGGGGCTAATGGAAGAACAGCCCAAATCCCTTTTGTGCATTGTCAGTTTCATTAATTGACCTAAACCTGTGTGTTTTCTAAATGTTTTTAAATCCCAACTTATTCTACACCTTTGCCAAATAGTTATGCTTTAGAGATTTTATTACATATTCTCCGCCCAACCTGGAAAGCAACTTACCTTATAATTTAGCAACAGCATTGAGACTTGGGAGTTATAGGTCTCATTCATCTTACTGCTAACTAACCTAAACTTAGTAACTACCCTGTCACTTTAAAATGACTTCTTTTAAAATAGGTTAAAGGGTCTATATTAGGCAGAGTACTCTAAAAACAAAAACAATCACATGCAGAGCTCCTCCCCAACAGAAGGAAGTGCTACATGAGTGCTAACGAAGGACACCAAAATGTATGCATGCAAACACATTTTTGTGTCCCCAACCTTTCTCAAAAATCACCATATTTTTAGCCCATCCTCTTTAGATTTATTACAATTTAGCTCCATCTTCAGAGATGAATTGTATAAGTTCTATCTTCTGTTAATACAGAAGAAGATTATTGCAGACATATTGTTGACCAGCATTTTGTTGATTTCAAGTTAAGGAATTCAGACCCTACTCAAAGGCAAATTAGTCCAAAATGAGATAAAGAGACTATTCCAAGTAGCACTGTACCAGGAGATGCTGGCCCAGCCTTGGCCCCTGCTTCCCAAGCCTCAAGTCAGCTCAGAGTCACACTTGAGGTTCCATGAGGAGAGAAGCCATTTCCAAACCACACACAAATTTCAAGTACAGCCTTGCACAGAAAGGCCTGCTTCTTAGTTTAGTTGGATGGATACCTAGACCAAAGCAGTTATTCAGCTTTCAAATATATATGCTATCTATATCCAGATTTTAAATGATCACTATAGTTGAATAGAGAAGAAAAGAGGTTGATAATGTAGTTATTTTCTCTGAATCCAGAGTTTGAGTTCAAAATCTGGGCTGGTGTACTTACTAGTTGTGTCATCTTGGGCCACACTTGTTTCCTTATTTGTAAAATGAGGCTAACACTAGTACCTATCCTATAAAATTGTGAACATTAAAGAGTTAACATATGCAAAAGCACTTAAAATAATGTTCATCATTTATGAAATGTATTGTTTGATTGTTCATATTATTATCATTAACCTATTTTCTGATTTTGAATTTCCAAAAGAAAAAAAATTATATTGCCTGCTATCCCATTTTGAAGGAAAAGTGAAAATACCAGAGGAATATAAAATCAAATTAGAAAAGATGACTTTATGGTTTTTCCCTCATCATAATTCAAAATTAAGTCTATTATTGTCTCTAAAAGATATCAATACTTGCACCTTCTGCACACTTTACTAAGGAATACTAATGCCTCCATGGAACATTATGTATTCAGAATAAAGTTACTAACCATCTACTGAGGCACAGAGATGAAAAAAGATCTGCAGAGCTAGAAATTGGCAAGTTGAAGATAAGACCATTTCTGCAAGTAGGAAAAGAGAAAGAAGATAAAGTCAAAACTAACACTAAGATTAGGATGTAGAGAAGATCCTCTGTCTCAATTTGTAATCATCTGTACCAAAAAGGCATTAAAGGACAAAATTAATTTGGGCCTAACAGTCTTCTCCTTGAACCTTAACCAGATCTTCTAACCACTAGTAAAACTCATTAGTTTAACCCCCTTCCTGTTTCTGCACACAAGCTGGAGCCAGGGGAGGAGGAGAAGCCCCAGGGGCTACACAGTTAAACCTCAGTCAAGAATGTTGTCTATGAGATCCCTGCTCTGGGAAGGGACAGGGCTGTAGGGTCCATGTGTCCCTGCACTCATGTTCTGTGATCCTGTGGTTCTGAGAAATACTGAAGTCTAGGTACATGCAGTTAATTTCATTTGGGCCCACTTTAAGTTGAAGGCTATACTTTACAAAACTGCTTTTGTTCCCATTGAAATCATCATACTACAGAGATACGTGCATACCCATGTTTATAGCAGCACAATTTATAACAGCTGTCTTAGAAATAGCATATATGTCCATCAGCAGATGAATGGATAGAGAAAATACAGTGTTTATATGCAATGGAATACTACTCTGCCATAAAGATAAACTTGAGGCGTTATAGGCTAATGGATGCAACTTAAAAACATGTTAAGTGAAATAAGTCAGACACACAAGCCTAAACATTGGATGGTTTCTCATATAAAAATTCAAATATGTATGTAAGAGAGAAAGAGAAATAGAAGATAGAAAAAAAAGTTCCCCAAATTATCTGTTCCATTGTTTCAAAAATATTTTAAGATATATGCTAATTTGCTTCATTTGTACTACTAGTCTTTTCTGTTCATTGAAGAGGAAGTTTTGTCCTTTTTGTTCTTTGTAAGTCTGTGACTTTTCCACTAACCATTGTTTTTCTGTTAGGAAATTTTGTTTTGCTTTTTCATAGCAGTAAGAAAAGTTTTTATATTTTCTTTATCATTATCTACTTATGTTACATTAAGAGAAAAAAGAAAAAGTTTTTCCCACATCAGCTTTTAAGGAATAGCAAGAATAGTAAATTGCCTTTTTTGTTGTAGGGAAAAGTGTGTTTCTTCTCCCACTCCCCAAATAAGCAGAAAACAGATGAGAAGCATTAAACATATTCTTTGCAGCTAAAAGCGACATGTACTTGGATTATCAGATAACGTCCAAGCTAAATGGCAAATCCATTTGGCTGTGACATCACTAATTGCTAGGGAGGAATGCTCCAGTTATTGAACAGATTCTGTTCCCCATGCAGTTGTAAAGTTAGGAATTGTAGTAAGAAGCCTCTGTTTGAGTAGCTTTTCCAAGTTCTGGTTGGATAAGCATGTTGGAGGGTTTTGAAGCTAATGCTACATAATCGCCTGAACTTTAGTGCATTGTAAAAACTAAGAGGAGAAAACACTGTGTGAGATGGCTTTGATGAATTGGGGTAGGCTTATGTTCTTAAAGACTGTTCAAAGGCTTACTTGACCTTGGGAATTAGAGTTGACCCCAAATCACCTATCAGTTTAGCTCACATTTATTTAGTGATTTAGTTTTTTTTTTTTTTTAATGTGTGTATGTAATGAATGGGACCCTCTAATAAAAGCAATATGGAAAGTCTAGTGACTTTGAATTGACATAGAAATCATTTTCACAACTTGAGTGAATTCTAGACTCTCTATAGATAATGTTTCTTCCATGATGTTTCTTCATTTCTTACAAGACAGTTTGGAAGGAGAACAAAACTGAAAAGGACAAAAAATTTCATGGGAAAGCTGTAGGGCAAATGGAAATGTAATGTTCAAGGCTAATGCAAAATGTTAAGGTAAGAAGGTTGATGAGAAGGGATTGAGCACAGGGGCAGGGCATTGGCTGAGAAGCCAGACCTCGCCAGAGGCATCATGGCTGCCTTGGGAAACCTCTGCAGTGTGTGTTAATACCAAAGATTGAGGACACAGGGCCTGAATTATGAGCAGTGAATAACATCATAAACGTAGCAATTCTCAAATGCCAAACCCTTGTGAAAAGCAGTTGGATGGAGAAATGTTGGCGCTTTTAAAAGCTCCCTTTCACTTTTCAATTTTTTTTTAACTTCATGCAGAACTAATTTTACACACTGTTCATTTGATTTGAAAA